GTAAGATACTTGGTCATGACTTTGGCTTTCAGACTCACCCAATTTGTTAGTCAGGGTTTTCTAACTTTAAAATGTACCTGTGATATTCAACTAATAAAAAGAAAAATCTTATTTTTTTCTTTTTTTTTAATTGGTTGTTCAAAACATTACATAGTTCTTGATATATCATATTTCACACTTTGATTCAAGTGGGTTATGAACTCCCATTCAGACATGAGTATGTCAATATGTAAATCAATGGAAGTGTAACTGATGTGATTCTGCAATCTGTATACGGGGTAAAAATGGGAGTTCAAAAATCTGATTTTGAATGAAAGTTCTGGAGATTTTTSTTGATAAGTAATTGGTATTTAAGATTTATGCCTGAGGTGAGGCAGCACATTATGGCAGGAGAACATGGAAAGACTAAACTTAAATACCACAAGGGAYCCACAATTTCCTTCAAGTCCTTACTCTACAATGAACTAAACAACACTCACTATGCCTTACCTGTAAATTTCCACCACATCCAACACCCTGTGGACCAAGCTATAATACATGAACCATTAGGGGTCAATTATCCAAATCAAATGATCTTCATTGTCTAACTGATATCCTTTGCATAAATTGATCTTTGACAGTCATTTTTTTTCTCATTAAACCCAGTTAAAACTTATTGAGGCTGAGCACAGAGGCATATGCCTATAATCCCAGTGTCTAGGGAGGATCACGATTTGAAAGCCAGCCTCAGCAACAGTGAAGCACTAAGCAACCTGGTGAGACCCTGTACCTGAATAAAATAAAAAAAATAAGGCTGGGGATGTTACTCAAAGGTTAAGTGCATTGAGTTCAATCACTGGTACCAAAAGATATGTGTTTGGGCGGGGTGAGAATATACCATGCACAGGATGCAGTCCTTAATGCATTTCATGAACAATATAATTGCAGAAAAGAATTTTATTGGGGAAAATTATTACAGAAAGTGTTTTAAGCAATGTGTTATGGTGCATGCCAGTAATTCTGGAAACTGAGAAGGTTGATACAGGAGAATTGAAAGTTCAAGACAGGCTTGGTAACTTAATGAGACCCTGTCTCAAAATAAAATGAATAAATAAGTAAATAAAGCTATAACTCGGTGGTTAAAGCACCACTTGATTCCATTTCCAGTATGGAGAAGACTAAACAAACAAACAAACAAACAAACAAATAAATAATAGAATGCTTACCAAATTGTGACTGAAATAAAAAGACTTTCATCCAAGTATTAGAACATGGATAAATGCCTGAGAATATTAAAATATTAAAATCTAAAGTGAGGGCTGGGGTTCTGGCTCAGTGGTAGAGTGCTAGCCTAACATGTGTGAGGCACTGGGTTCGATCCTTAGCACCAAATAAGAATAAATATATATAAAAAAGAATAAATATATACAACTTGAGATTTGAAMCAAATCACAAATTGTTGCTGTTATTCTGATATACCTAATTATCACAAATATAACCTTCAAAATTTTCACTGAAATGATATACATATAAAAAACATACAAAGCATTTATGTAAATGTTCAGAAATTATCTAAAATTGAACATATTTTGAAAAGATAGAATAAATCACTTTCTCCATCTATGATATCCAAAATCAAATAGGATCTTAAGAACCAGCAGAGAAATGTTTTCTCACATAAATATAAAATGTATATAAATAAAGTGAATGTTATAACAGTTATCTAGATTCAACATCTGCTTATTAAATAAGCAAAGAAGCTTATTTCTTCTATGCTTCTAGACCAGTCCCACTTCCTAGACCAGTCCCACTCCTTGTATATTCATTCTTTGGTGAGATCATATGTACATATCTTGAATGTCACAGATATCAACTGTACAGTTTTGACAAACACATTAATAAAAACCTTCACTGCTTTTTAGCACAGAATATTTACATCATCTCAAGAAAACTATATTCTTTCCCACAAAACTTTTTGTTCCCCAGAAGAAAGTTACTATAGTGGATATTTTACCATACCTTCATTTTGCCTGAAACCATGTAGTATAATTTTAAATCCAGCTGCTAAATTATACTGTATCTGTAAGAATCAATCAGGGTGTGAGTTTCAATAATGTGTTTCTTTGTATTGATTACTACTATTATATTTTATGGATGCACTACAAATTGTCCATTTCAACATTCAAGAACATTTGAATTATTTCTTATTTTGGACCATTAGGACTACAGGGCCTATGAAACTTCTTAAATAACTATCCTACTCAGTTCATTCTTTACTAGTCTTTCAATGACACTCTATTCTATCTTTAGTTGTTGCTATGAGAATTATAATTTGCATCTTAACATTTCAATTTGATTAGAGTCAATATTATATGAGGTTTCTAAATACAAAAAAAAACCTTACCACAGACTGTTTATTTTCTTGTATCCTTTG